GGAGGTTGACGTTTTGGGGTTAAAAGTGGTGATGGCTTAGGCACGTGCCTGTAATCCCAGCACTTCAGAGGCCGAGGCAGGAGGACTGGGAGTTTGAAGCTAGCTTGGGCTAACTAGCAAGTCCCAGGCCAGCCTGGAACTTTAAAATAAGTAAATAAATGCAAACCAAAACCGAGTGATGTGGTTTCCTTGGTATGAAATTAATGGAAGCTCTTCTAGTTCAAGGTCTTTTTCTTATCCAGTGCCCTTTAGGGGTAATTATATGCACGCAGAAATATGTGTCTTTAAAAATAATTTATTTTGTGTATGTGTGTTCATATGTGCCGTACAAACGTGTGTGTGTGTGTGTGTGTGTGTGTGTGCGTGCATGTGTACAGGCTGGAGGTCGAGGTTAGGTGTCTCCTTAAGTCACTACCTTATGTTTTGTGACGGGGTCCCCCGCTGAACCTGGAGCTGCATGATTTAGCCAGACTGTGTGTACAGCAAACCCTAGGGATCTGCCTGTCTTCACCTCTCAGCAGTGGGATTACGTGTGTGCACAATCGCACCTGACCTTAAAAAAATTTTTTTTTAAACGTCTGTGCTATGGATCTAAACTCAGGTCCTTATGTTTGCTGAGTGCTTTATATGATGGAGCCTTCTTCCAGCCTCCTTTAAAAATAATTTCTAGGCTGGACGTGGTGGCGCATGCCTTTAATCCCAGCACTTGGGAGGCAGAGGCAGGCGGATCATTGTGAGTTTGAGGCCAGCCTGGTCTACATAGGGAGTTCCAGGACAGCTGGGGCTACAGGGAGACCCTTTCTCAAAAAAAAAAAAAAAAAAAAAAAATCTATAGTCTTCCTCTCTGAGGACATCTAGTGGTTAAACTAAGAAGTGCCGTCTCTGTCTCCAAGCAGCTTCTTAGGAAGGACTGGGGTTCATTCAGTGCCACTCCAGAATGTTAAAGAGGGCTCCCCCAACTTTAGCTCAGCCCAGCTGGCAAATGAGAGTCCTGGCCGCCCACACTCCTGGTAGATGGGTACTGGGATCGCATCTCTACCGAGTCTGCATGCTGGCCCAGGTACTTTCCAGTATTGCCTGACTAGAAGAACTCTGGGGTTGGGGCTTAAAAGCAGAAATAAAAACAAAGAAGAAAGAACACCCATGCTTGTCCTTGTGAAAGGCAGTGCTCATGTATGGAAGTCACAGGACACAGGCTTCCTCTGACTCCTTTGTCCTTTCAAGTTAAAACTGCAAGTCTAATACTAAGTACACAATTTAAACTTACCAAATTGTTTTGATTACCTTATAGCAAACGTATGCATTCTTCTGAAGTTTATAAAATTATATTTTAAATTTTATTTATTATTTTAATTTTATGTGTATGTGTGTATTGCCTGGCATGTAGGTAAGTGCACCCTTGTTATGTACAGAGAGCTGTTAGCTGCCATGTGGGTGCTGGGATTTGAACCCGGGTCTTCTGCAAGAACAACCAGTGTTCTTAACTGCTGAGCTATCTCTCTAGCCCCCCAAATTATATTTTTAATTAAATTTTTTCTTCAATATACTATATACCTTGATCTACCCATCCCATCATCCTTAGTCATAAATATACTCAGGACATTAGAGGTTGGGACCCTAAATGTTTGTGGCCCAGATTTTGTCGGTAACAGAGATGTGAGCCTTGTACCTAAGGTTGGATGTTAAGTTTTCTTCATGCCAAGTTTACTTAGTTCTGCCTGTGGGGTCCAAGTTCATACCATTGCCTGGCCTTCTGCTCTCTCTTTCAAGCTTCACTCTTGGCCTGTGTGTGTGTGTGTGTGTGTGTGTGTGTGCTGGAGAAGAAACCCAGGGCTGGCACATGCTAAGCAAGTGTTCTACCACTGAGTTATATAGCTAATTTTGTTTTAAGATAGGGTCTCATATATTGCAGCCTAAGTGGGGAACAAATTCCAGTCAGGTAAACACATGATTAAATGTTGAAAGGGATTAACAATCAAAATAGGCTGGGGGCAGGCTGGGATGTAGCCCAGTTAGTACAGTGTGTGTCTAGAGAGCACAAAGCCTCCAGCACAGTGGTGTGCTGCATACCTGTAATTCCAGCACTTTGGAGGTAGAGGCAGGAGGATCAAAAGTTCAAGATCATCCTTGACTACAAACTGAGTTTAAGGCTAGCGTGGGAAATATGAGGCCTTGTTTAAAATTTTCATTTATTTTATTTTATGTGTATGTGTGTATTGCCTGCATGTAGGTAAGTGCATCCATGTTGTGCAATGCCCACGGAAGTCAGAAGAGGCTTTCGGATCCCCTGGGACTGGAGTTACAGACAGTTGTTAGCTGCCATGTGGGTGCTCGGATTCGAACCCAGGTCTTCTGCAAGAACACCCAGTGTTCTTAACTGCTGAGCCATCTCTCCAGCCCCAATGAGGGCCTGTTTAAAAAAGAAAGTTCAGGAGGTGATGCTGATGCTGATGCTCAGAGAGGCTGAAACACTATTGTAATATCACTATTAAATGTTAAGATTTCAGCTCATTAAAAAAAATTCAGGCCCCACCCCTTCCAAAGGACTTATAGACAGATAATGGAATTAGCAGGGAGGGCTCCCAAGATCCCTCCCCTCCCCTCCTCTAGTGTCTATAGACAGTTAATGGTCACTGGGGAGGGAGAGACATTTTCCTCATTGGTAAGGAGCCCATGTCCTTGTAAATAATCCACCCAAGCCCTGGAAGAAACCCCAGTAAGTGAACCAGTGTTCTCCAGGACTGGATCCCTGAGAGGTTATCTCATCCCAAGTGGGTGAATGCTAAACACAGGTACACACGAGCCCTGATAAATGGATTTGGTGTATTAAATATGTATATTTATAAAAGTATGGATGTGTATATAACAATAATAATCAAAGAAGAGAACAAGAAATTGAGATGGAGTGGGAGGACATGGGAGGGAGGGGGACTAGGAGGTGGAAATAGTACAAATACGATACTCATCTAAAAGTTACATTGAAAAAAGAAGAAACCTCAATAAAACAGTGGGTGAACAATGGATCACCCAGAACAAACAAAGAAACGGCAGCAGATGCTGCATTGCGGTGGTGTCCCAACAAAGACGGCTTAAGTTTCGGAGTGGTTTAATCACCAAGACTCAGAACTGTTCTTCCAACAATGTCCTCTCTTTTATACTTAAACAGTACATCAAGAATGATACAGGGAAGGAAATGAAGAACTTTGTTTTATCGGGAAAGCTTTGCTTGTCTGACCCCTTACTGAATCTGAACATCATACAAAACTGTGGATGATTCATCGCCTCCAATGTCCCTGTGCTGCTTTCAGCACTGATATTTTCACGGCATACTCACATACGTCCATTATTCTGAGCCAGGAGAAAGGAACGGTCATGAGGGAGAAATAGGGAACATCATCTAAGATTAAAGCTATTTAAAAAAAATATTTTTATTATTTTTTATTATGTGTATCAGTGTATTGCCTGCATATGTGTAAGTGGACCCATGTCATGCAGTTCCCACAGAGGTCAGAAGGTGTTGAATGTCCTGGAACTGGAGTCATGGATGGTTGTTAGCCATCCTGTGGGTGCTGGGAACAGACCCTGGGTCCTCTGCAAGAGCAGCCAGTGTTCTTAACCACTGAGCCATCTCTCCAACCCCCTAAAGTTATTTCTTTAGCTTACTTAGCTCGTAAAAGTTGATCACAAGAGGAGCCCAAGGCCTAGTAAGATTATTTATGTTTTTTCCCTAAAGCCTAGCTAAATTTCAGTAAGCTGGTTACACAGTAGGAAGACAGATTGAATAGATAGTAATAAATGATCTCAAAACATAAGAGTAACTTTTGTTCCAAGGCTAGGTCTGTAAGACAAGTGTTCCCAGAAAAAGCAATTCCATAACAAACAAAAAAACAAAAGAATCCCCCCCCCAACCAAAAACCCCACATGAAAATAGAAACGGGCTGTGAGGAAAGGCGTCAGTGGGAGAGGGTGGGAACAGGAGCAGGACACGGGGATGAATAGGACCAGAGGACATTATACACAAGTATGGTGTCCTTATGAAACTCATTATGTAGAATTAATATATGGCAATGAAATATCCTTTTCTCCCCCCCCCCCCCCCCTCCAAAAAAAAAAAAAAAAAAAAAGCGAGCGGGGCTCGGGCTGTCGGGAAGCCCGAGGTTACGGGTAGTGCCCCCGTCACATCCCAAAAAACCTGGAGGGGGAGGAAACACGGCTACCAAAAAAAAAAAAAAAAAAAAAAAAAAAAAAACGGGGGGGGGGGGGGAAAAAAAAAAAAAAAAAAACGAAACAGGGGGG